ATGGAGACATGTCTCACATGGAGACAGACGTGTCTCACATGGAGACATGTCTCACATGGAGACAGACGTGTCTCACATGGAGACAGACGTTTCTCACATGGAAACAGACGTGTCTCACATGGAGACAGACGTGTCTCACAAGGAGGCATGTCTCACAAGGAGGCATGTCTCACATGGAGACATGTCTCACATGGAGACAGACGTGTCTCACATGGAGACATGTCTCACATGGAGACAGACGTGTCTCACATGGAGACAGACACATGGAGACAGACACATGGAGACAGACACATGGAGACAGACACGTCTCACATGGAGACAGACGTGTCTCACATGGAAACAGACACATGGAAACAGACGTGTCTCACATGGAGACAGACGTGTCTCACAAGGAGGCATGTCTCACATGGAGACATGTCTCACATGGAGACACGTCTCACATGGAGACAGACGTGTCTCACATGGAGACACGTCTCACATGGAGACAGACGTGTCTCACATGGAGACACGTCTCACATGGAGATAGACGTGTCTCATGTCTCTGAGGTCTAACACATGGAGGACACAGAGACACCTGGACACAGATGTTTTCAGTCTGTGGGACAAAGCCCACCTGTGTTTGCACAGGAAGACCTGACAGGAAACCAGGAGTCAAACCTGTGGCCTCCTGGCTGTGATCCCACAGCTCTAACCGCTGCACCACTGTCAGCATGTTCAACCCCCTGAATAAAGAATAAAAGCTGAATAAATCCCTGGTTTCAGCTGATGTTCAGTTTATCAGCTCCTCTGAAGGACAGAGTCTGAAAACAAACAGCCGATATTCATTAATGAGTAAACAGCCGAAGTCTCTGCAGGAGTTTACAGTCTGTCGGCTTTTAAACACTAAACAGCTGAACTCAGCTTTAAGTCTGATTTAGCTGTTTATGCAGCCAAACCTTCGGCTCATTCAGCTGCTGTGACCTTTGAAATCTTTATACTTTTAAAAATATTTAACTTTATTTAGAAACATTAAAATYTGTTTCAGCTACTGGACCTGGTTTTATCTTTCGCTATTTTTAGCTTTTAGCTGCTCTTCTGCTATTTTTAACTTCATTACATTACATATAATTTTAGCTACTTTTTCTTACATTTAGCTTTAAGCTACCATTTTGTTACTTTTAGATGTTAGTCTGACACTACTAGCCATAGCTAGCTGTTTGCTTCTTTAGGATCATTTTTTGCTACTTTTAGCCATTTTTTTTTACCATTTTTAGCTTGTAGATAGCATTTAGCTCCTTTTAGCTACCATCTTGTTACTATGAGAGAGCTTTCTGAGACTTTAAGCCATAACTAGCCTTTTGCTAAGAAGCAATGTGTAGATAGCTTTTTGCTACTTTAAGCTTTAAGCTAACCTCTTAAAATTGTATTCATTTTTAAAACTTTATTTATGTAGCTTGTTTTTAACTATTTTTAGCTTTTATTAGGCAATTGCTACATCTAGCTAGGGCTATTTGTTACTTTTAGCTTCTAGCTAATCTCTTGACAATTTTAAGTAGCATTTTGCTGAATTTTGCTCCTTTAACTAGCATTCGGCTAGTTTTGCTAGGGTTTTTGCTACTAGCTAACTTTTAGGCAGCTTTTAACTAAAACCAGGATTAAGTTTTTTTTTAGCTTTTAGCTATTGTTTTGCTTCTTTTAACTCAATTTCAGCTTCTCTTCTGCAGTTTCACAGGAAAACAAAATTGTCTGGTTTGAATTTTCGGCTCTTGTTTCGGCTGATCCTCACAGCTCAAGCCAGCGGCCTCTCCTCACATTCCTGCTAACATTTAGCTCCTAGCTGCAGGTTAGAAAAGCTTCAGTTCGGYGGTGAGCGTGCGCAGGCTGCAGCGCTGCTCGGCGGCTGCGGCACAAAGTGCTTCAGTGTCGAGGCGCCGCGAGCGAAGCCAAGGAGGTCGCYGTAATCGTGTCGTTTGCTCTGAGTGACGCCTGCGAGCGCACACACAGATCTCAGTCCAGATAACACAGGGGCCTTTGAAGGCGGGCCGGGCCGGTCCTGCCGGGCCCCCGGGGTCTCAGCAAACAGAACCGGAGGAACGGTGAAGCCGAAGTTCGGCTCTCTGCTCTGCTGCCAGAACAAACAAGCTGCAGAGCTGCAGCCGAGGACAGATTAGACTCTGTTAGACACACACACACACACACACACACACACACAGACTTTAGCTCGTCGTGTGAGGCTGGATTCAACCTTTCCACAGTCAAACCTTTGTATTTTAATTTAATGACGAAGCAGAAAATGAGAAAAACTCAGTTTTGTTCTTTAAATGTTTGTTTTGAACCAGAAGAAAAACCCAAAGATTGTTCGACGTGTCGACTCTTCTCACCTGCATCTTCATCATAATCTTCATCATCACCAGACGACAGGGAGTCTGAAAAACAAGTGGAAACAAATCAAATCTTGATTTATTTAATTTAACTTTAAACTGTTCTGTTTGATGAACTGTTGTTGTTACTGGAGATGTGATCAAATTTATCATTAAATTAAATCATTTATTTCTGATGAAAGTTTCAGCTGATCATTTCAGGCACATCAGCTAAAACCTTAGTTTCTCCTGACAGAACAGTTTGTATTAAATGTCTGAATGCTGACTCAGCGTCTAACTACGTCTGCACACTTTACTCCATTTCATCTGTTTATATATCAAAATGTTCGGCTGCTGTTACCTTTAACACTTCATTTACCAAAAAATAATTTACATGATTTTTTACTAATATTAATTTATGTCTTGAATTCCTCTAAAAATATTTTCTCTTTAAAATCTGCTTCAGATGAATGTTTGTCGTCTTATGCTGCTTGTTGCTTTTAGCTGGCCTTTTAGCTTTCAGCTATCCTTTAGTTACTTTAAGCATTTATCAGGCCTTAGCAAGCTTTTTGCCATTTTAAGCTTTTATCTAGCTTTTAGTTACCTTTAACTTTTAGCTGGCATTCTGCTACTTTTTACCTTTCAGCTACTATTCTTCTATGTTTTGCTTTTAGCTAGGCTTTTGCTACTTTCAGTTAGGTTTTTGTTACGTTTGGCTACCCAGTATGTTGCCACATTTAGCTTTCAGTCTCAATTCTGCTATTTTAGGCTTTGAGCTAATACTTTTTACTTTTAGCTGTTATTTTGGTGCTTTTATCTTTCTGCAGCCATTCTGCAACTTTTCTTTTAGCTAGCCCTTGGCTAATTTAATCCTTTCAGCTATCATTCAGCTACTTTTTGTTTTTAGCTAGCCATTTGTTAATTTGAATTAGCCTTTTGCTACTTTAAGCWAGGTTTTTGCTATGTTTGGTTACCCATTTTCTACTTTTACCTTTCAGCTACTGTATTGCTTCTTTTAGTTTTTTGGTAGCATTTTTAGTTAGCAAATTTAGCCAGTAGCCTCCATTCTGCTATTTTAAGCTTTAAACTAGCCCCTTGCCACTTTTATCCTTCAGCTAACGTTTTGTTACTTTTTACTTTTAGCTGTCATTTTGCTGCTTTTACCTTTCTGCAGCCATTCTGCTACTTTTGGCTTTTAGCTAGCCCTTTCTTAATTTGACTTTGCCTTTTGCTACTTTCAGCTAGCATTTTGCTACTTTTAGCTGGCATTTTGCTACTTTCAGCTAGCATTTTGCTACTTTTAGCTAGYATTTTGCTAYTTTTAGCTAGCATTWTGCTAYTTTYAGCTAGCATTWTGCTACTTTCAGCTAGCATTTTGCTAATTTTAGTTAGCCTTTTGCTACCTTTTAAGCGTCAACTGTAGTAAATTTCAGCAGAGCCCTCCAGCGTTTTCAGTTTCTGTAGTTTTTGTAATTTCTCTTTAATTTAGCTGTTGTTAAACCTTCGGCTGTTGTTGGGTGGAAATACCCTGTAGTCCTCAGTTTTAAAACTTTGGCTCATATTTGAACCCATGCMCGAGCAGCCGAACAGGTGCGAGGCTCACCTGTGACTCTGACGGTGAAGTTGCTGAGCAGCAGGTTGTTGCGGGCGAGCCAACACGTGTACAYGCCGGCGTCTTCGTACGACACGTTGACGACGCGCAGCACCCGCTGGCCGACGTGCGTCCGGTTGCTCGGCACGACTCCGGCGCCGTCTTTGAGCCAGACGATCGGGTGCGGGGGGCCGTCCAGGTCGCACGACATCTCCAAGGTGTCCCCCAAACCCAGAACGTAGTCCTCCAGGTAGGCCGCCTCGCTCGTCACCGAGTCTGAGAGGAACAGGAAACAAGAACTTCAGTTTTTATTTTCACCTGATGAAGTCATCGAGGTCAAGAAGAATCGATACTTTACATTTCTGAGACGTAAAAACAAGAAATTTAGAAAAACAAATGATTTTGAACAAGATAAAAAGGTATTTTTTTTATATTTAACGAAAGAAAATCTGAGAAAAAGACAAAGATTGAACTAACGACCCTTGAATGAATGCCTGGTATCAACTCTTTGCTCAACAGGCAAAACTGAGGAAAACTCTTTRTGATTTCAGGTCAGAGAGTCACTGAACAAATAAAAACAGATGTTTACATGTTGACATGATCCTTTCATTAACTGATCTGTGAAAACTAGAAGAAACCTTTTTGATATTTTAGTGCGACTCAAACAAACCCTGTTTCATTTTCACCTGATAACCAGTTTGATAGTTTTTAAATGAGCAACAAATCATGCAACACACACACACACACACACACACACACACACACACACACA